AAACCGAAATTGTATTGGAACTGTTCATAAGTGATTTTGAAATTTGCGTAAGTCACGCGTGCGGTACTTCAGCGGGATGTTTTTTTTTTTTTTTTTGTTTCTGAAGAATCTCAGAGCTTTTTCGTCAATTTCCTTGACCATTGATGTGGAGGGGCGTTTTCTTTTGTGTGATCTAACGTATAATGATAAGGATTGGAGGCTCATGTGTGTTTATGCCCTAATGCAGTGTCGGCTAGGAATATTTTCTTTTCATTTGTATCTCATTATTTGACTACAGATAGAAATATTGTACTTCTTGGCGACTTCAACTGTGTTTGCAGTAATAGAGATCGTTTGAAACCAACGTCTAGAAATGATTCGAGCGCAACCAAACTAGAATCTTTAATCATTGAGCAAAACCTAATAGACATTGGTGATGTCAAATATGGAGATCAACACACACTTTCAAAACTCGTCACATGCTCACCTCGACAGGATTTATGTGAGCGGTGAATTGTTCGCTCAAATCAGTGACTATAATGCGATAAACCAATATTCTTCTCTGATCACTGCCTGGTATCAATTTGCATCGGTGAAAATAAGCGGTCATCCTTTCGCCCCAAATGGGGCTTGTGGAAACTCAATGTAACTCCTTTCTGAAAAGGGGTTCACTGAACGTATTTCTTGTCTGTTGTCAGATGTTTTGAGACTCCCTACACTTACCGTATTTGCAAAGTGGGATATGTTTAAACAGAACGTCAAGAATTGGGCCATTGAATACTTGAGTCTCCTGGCGTTTGAGCGGAAGAATGACCGAAGAAAATTATTCAACCTCCAACCTGGCAACCTTATACGAACCTAAATCTTTTAGCCCAGCTGGGACATGCGTTGCGGAAATTAACATAACCAAAGCACACTTACACCGATATTATGCGAAAAACTACAGAGAAGCAGTTGTTCGTTCACCAACAGAACGGTTTACGCCCAATGAACCCCTAACACGACGATCGTTAAATGATGAGAGACGATACGCCCTGTCAAAAATCCTGTGCTACTTGCAGCTGTCCTGTGCTGCTTGATGCCTTCGTAGGATATGAAGAAAAAATACTTCCACCCACTTTTTATCAAGGTCATACGGTTTTAATACCTAAAAGTACAGATGAAGCAGTGCTGAAAAAGGCTGGGGCTACAGACCAATATTCTTGTGTAATGTAGACTACAAGATTTCTGCAAAAATACTCGCAGAATGACTTCAAATCCTAACTCATACTCTAATTAGAGAACACCAGACGTGCGGAATTAAAAATAGGACAATTTAAACCAACGAACACATCGCCAGATCCGTTCTAGAGTGAGTGGCGGATAGCAATAATCAAGTTGCATTGGTACAAGTTGATCTTTCAAAAGCCTTTGATCAGGTCAGTTACTCTTTTTTGTTTCTAATTATTTCCCATGTCTACCAAAATCATTGTTCATAACACTCATCAGCGGCGTAGACTTTCCATTTTTTCCGGAAAAGGGGGTGGGGGGGGGGGGGGGGGGGGGGGGCAGGCTGAGGAGTTCTCCCGGGGGAGGGGGGGATGCTGCGCGTTACCTTTTCGCCAGAACTGGAGATCGGAGCTAACGAAAGCACGCTGGGATTCCATTTCCCATGTATTCTGTCAATAAAGCCAACATGGGCGTTATTGTGTTTACATGGCACTACTAGAAGCTCGTTTCATGGCACGTAAACAGCGTCTCGGTAAGGACCATGGCCCGGGCCCGGGGGGGGGGGGGGGGGGGGGGGGGGGGGGGGCTCTGCCCTTTTCCTGGACGTCACCAGGGGGGCACGAGCCCCGATGCCCCCCTAAAGTCTACGCCTATGGCACTCATTCAACCCCAATTGCTGTCAAATCTTTAGCGAGGCAAGGATGTCCTCTATCCCTTCTTTTGTTTGTCTTACATCTCGAACCATTGTGCAATAGTATAATTAAAAACCTTCATGTTGGAGGGTAGATCGTCAATTTCCCTAATGTGAAGTTGTTGGCTTATGCCGGATATCGTCGCATTTTTTTTTTCTCCGACAAGGAGAGTGTAAAAGCACTCCAAGTAACGCATAATTTTTGTGCGTTGACGGGCGCATCTGTTAATAACGAGAAGTTGAATGGATTTTGGTTGGGCATGTGGGGAACGACGCCATCCGAATTTGCAGGAATCCAATGGAATCAACCAGAAATAAAATATCTTGGCATGCCTCTCGATCAAACTAGGAATAGTGGGTCATAATGGATGTCAGTTGCAACAACTATCAAACGAAAAATTGACGCCTGGCGAGTACGAGATCTTTCAGTCTTCTCCAAGGCCGCAGTCTGCAATATTTTTCTCGCATCAAAACTTGTGTACGTCCTGCAAGTACTGGACTGTGCCCGCCCACGAATTCAAGCATTCCATCGTTTGTTTGTCACCTTCATTTGGAGTTCCTCCTGGGAACTCCAAATGAAGGTGGCAAACACCCGGGAACTGGTCTCGACAGTAATGTAAAAACTGCGGATGCGGTTCGGATACAAAGTCTGCGGATGCTGATCGGATAATCAAACTGTTTTCTGCGCAGGGCTTAAGTATTATCTCCACCTCCAATTTCCAAAACTTTCTTATATAGTTTCTCACCGCTACCGCCTCTACTCTTATCACCTTAATTCTGCGAGTACCAGTTCAGCACTCCCCTGCTGTCCCCTCCTGCTATGCTTCAAGTGCTTGCAATTCATGGCCGATTTCAAGCAGGACTATTTTTCCATAGGCCAGCATTGCTTGTATGAAATAGATAAATAAAAGTAAAATTATCATTATAACTATTACGATGATAATAAAATATAATGTTGCCGGCCGTTTGACATTCTGACACACGGGGGCCTCATCAAAGTGCAATTAAGAGTCGAGGTATTCCACCACCAGCTGCCCATGTAGAGACGGTCGCCAACTTCACAGCTGCGGCCTTGCCCCTTGGCGACAAGCCCTCAGACTGGTACGGCCCAATCCTGTCACGAGATTCGTTGAAATTAAGCCCGCGTGAATTATATCCCACGTCTAGGGAAAAACAAAATCACCGAACAAGAAAGCTAGTTTGGGCTGTCAGCCATTCCTCATTAAGAGTAAAGAATTATTGCGAACGCCAAAAACAAAAAAAAAAAAGCGCCTAAAATACGCTTCTTTCTGTTCGCAAAGGAACGCCAAGTGCTGCATACAAGCTCCGGAGCGAATCTCTATTACCACGAGCGTGATGACAAGTCTCACTTAGAAACTTCCGAAACTTCCGTCAAACGAAGTCATCCCTGTCCCGCTTTCATATCACGCTCAGGTTATTAAATTCGTGCACTCGCAACTCCAACCTCGTGAATTTAACACCCTTTCCTATTCGCACTTTGGCTGCCAGGGTGAGCTTTTGCTACGCATTTGTTTGGTGTTCATTATTGTGACTGGGCAAAGCTCTAACCTGGTGCATTGGGTGAAGAAATCATGATCGTGGATCATGATTTTCTTTACTTTACACAGCCACTTACTTCTGCACTTTACACAGCTACTTACCTTTAAGCTTTACACAGCTACTTACCTTTCCTGGAACACCAGAGGCTTATGTCCTGGGGCTTTGTCTCTTGTGGATTTTTTTTTTTATTTCGGTATGAAAAACAATGTTATCATTAATGTCCTCCTGTTTACATACACCGACTCCTAGGTGGCTAAGTAAACATGCTAAGTGAAGTATTCTTCTCGAGATGTGCAAATATTAAAAATTTCGAAGATATATAGTTTCGAATACTACACTATTCGATATTCGCTTCGAGATGAACTGCGATATTCATATTTTCCCAAGTGCTGATCGCGGCGGGTTAGCCACGTTTAGCGCGCTTCCTACTGAGCACGGGTGCACTGGGAAAAAGCAACACCCGCGGAAGCCGCGCGTGTGTTGCTTCCCCGCAGTGCATCGGTGCTCGGCAAGAAATATGTAGAAACACACGCACACAGATCAAGATTTGGAAAAGTATAAACATCGCAATTGAGTGCTTGAAAGAAAAGCACACTTTGAAGGCGGGATGATGCACATGCACGACTGGCGAACTTTGTGAATGTCGACAGCTACATTGTAGTAAAAATTTCAAAATTAAACTGGACAAGAATACTATATGTTAGGCAGAGATGCCCTGACAACCAGTGTTCTTTATTCGTGACTTTTTTTCCTAATTCGAAATTGAAGAAAGAATATTTGTATATAGCAAGATTTGTAAATCGCTAAACTAGGTATAGCTGGGCATCTCTACAGGTTTAATTTTATATAAAATAAATCATTTACTTGTCACCCCAAGCCACTGGACTTTCTGACCATAGTCAAAATCTAATTAGATTAAAATTAGCTTATAGATGGATAAGTGGAAGCTTGAGAACAAACTTCAGGAGTTTCGCTGGGTTTTCGTTTAACCATGGTGCAACAGTAGTGAAAGGCTTGGGGGAACTATTCAATATTTTATTCGAAAATATTCGGCCCAAACCACTATTTGCTTCTAACTCAAAATCTACTATTTGCACACATGACTACATTCTTCAAAGGACAGGTAGGCTTGAGAGCACCTTCCAAACTGCCTCAGTGAAACTGCAGTTTGTCTGTAACCAATTCTTTAGGGACACTGTTAGTCTCTAGCCAGAGAGTCAAACTAGTAATTCAGTCAAGTCAAAGGAATAGCTGTATCTAAAGCCTAAGGATTGTTAAAGTGTTCAGTCAAAACATTGTTGACTTGTAATCAAAGCATCAGCTGATTGTTTCTTTATTTTGACATGCAGCCACCTGTTCAGACTGCTACAAGAATCTGTAAAACTGGTCAGTCACAGGTTCATTGATAATTTTATTCAGTAACATGTCCCAGTGACTCTCATGGTCATTCAGTCTATCCCAGTGACTGACCCATGGTCACGAAGATAGTCTGGGTGTTCTGCCTTAGACCACAACCTCAAGGTCACTTTGATAAGCAACAAAGCAGACACAACAGAGCTGGTAAGTTACCATTACTTTGGGTGTTTTTATTTCAAACTGTTGTAAAACCCAAACTCTCGGTGCGAGACATCAGCACTTAACAAGAAGGTAACTTCTTACCACAAGCAAAATAAGAAGGTGAGAGGGAGAAGTGACCTTCCCACAAGTTTCAATACACCGAGAAAAAAAAAAGGGGGGGGGGATGGGGAAGGATACACAGCCAGCACAATCAACTCTGAAGGGGAAAAAAAAATTGAATTGAGAAAAGGACCTTCTTGAGAACCACTAGAATAAAATAATGAAGAAGAAACACCTGCTTGTACTCAATGTCACTCCAGCAAACAAGTAAGGGCAAAAACCGAAGTGCCATCAGCATAGTAACTCAGTAATCACTTGTGGTAACAGGAATATTGGTGTTAAATACAAGACCTCTCCGGCACCCGGCTGCACACAAGCATGTATGCATTTAACAACCAAAGCTTCTTTTTTTCTCAAACTCAAGACGGAGGTGAAACAATCTATGTTCCTGTCAGAGGTTAAAAATAGGGGTTCCCTTTTTATCTTCTCTCTGTGTGCAATGTATCGGCAGCAATCCCTCCCAGGAAAGCAATGTCGGCGCCCAAAATGTCGAGTTGTGCTCCAGTTTCGCCCCGATATACTTATAGCCTTCTATTCACACGTTCCGGCAGCATCAACCGACACAGTGTGGTGGAAACGGGAGAAGACGAGAAAAACCTCAAAAATAAAAACCCATAAGGAAGAACAAAAAAAAACATCTCTATGCCATCCCTTTTTTCCAGTTATCATCAGGTACAAAAATAATCGCCTTTGCACTGTAGAAACACGTAATGCTCTCCACCGTCACGTTTTCTTGTTTCTCCTTATATTATTAACTCACAGCTGTTTCCTGCACAGACGATACACAGTACGTTCCACAAACACAAAAAAGTAGACGCTTAAGAATAAGCTTCACAAATCTAGAGTGACTATCCTTTTTTTTTTTTCCTTGTCTCTGTGGAGGCTCAAGCGTGGCCCGCGTGTGTATCTGTGTCTGTGATGGTGTCGTGTTGTGTAGTACTGTTTCACAAGGCGGAGGGGAGGAGACAGCTCAAGAGAAGAAAACACTCTCGCGGCGGGTTTCGTGAACCTCATGTTTGTGAGAATCTTCTCGTGTTCCACATCTCATTTTCTTAAAAAACATCAACACGGGAAGGAAGGGAGGGGCACACGACCACAGCTGACATCCATAATTGCCGTTTGGTTTCTTCACTTCAAAACGCTACGCTCACGTACGACACAGTGGAAACTCAACTGGGTCCTGGTAGAAAAGAATAATAAAAACCCCAATGAAGTATACACTGACAAAAACAACGGTATGAGACTCGTGCGACGACACCAAAGAGTAGCGGCGCATCCGCGCCGAAAATGCGTCGTCGGAGGCGCCGATCAACTCGCGTGGTCCTGAAAGGGGCAGAAAAGCCTCCGATTCCCAGACGTTTGTTTTCTGCTTCAATGCATCTTAATTTAGGTTTCTTTTTTTGGCACGGTGTTTTCTTACACGCTTGCTGTCTTTCACAGGACGCGACGTGACACAGGAAAAAAGTAACGACATTCCCCGTTCCCTTAGGCGGCAATGGCAGCAGACGTCCTTCGTCGCTGAACGAGTAAAGCATTTCGCAAGAAGCTCATTGTGTTGTCAAGCTGTCGGCGTGTGTTCGATCACATGAACTGGCTGTATCTGTCTATCCCTTCATACACCTCCCTCCTTGGTACACGAAAGTTTCCAGGTGCCCCACCCTGCACGGCTCACCCGCCACTGAAAACCGCCCAAATCGCAACGCCGATCTGTGCCCCCCGCGACCCTGTCTGCCTGCCGAAAGACAAAATCAGGTTAACAAACCGTCCCAAGAAACAACACTGAAAGCTCCTCAGAATCAGAGGCTCGTACAAGCAACACTGAACATGAAAAAAAAAAAATGTCTGATAAGAATGTTGAGCGGCTAATACATCTAGTGAAATGGAATCTCGCAGACCAAAACTACTGCGACAGACGTTAAATTTTTTCTTAAAAAAGAAACACAAACATGGGTGGAGAAGAAAGCGTAGAGTCGTAAGAGAGCCGACGAACATGTGCCTTTTGAAAGCAACAAGTACCACACAGAATACTGCACATTCCAGGATCATTCGATCTAACTATCTGCACAGAACAAAAAAATTCCAAAGCACAACTTGTTGGCAACTAAAGTTATCAAACAGATGACCTTAGAGGTTAGGGGCAAACCAGCAGCAAAAATATCAAAAATGACACCTCCTCCCTTTTTTGCAAGCTCGAGAGATTGCCATAGTTGCCCACAGAGGGTGCCGTCCCCCCCAAAATCTTTCTCATTGTTATACAATAATGTGCCACAACAGGGTAATAACCGGAAGAAAAAGAAGACCACACACACCAATGACTACTGTCTCAAATGTACACAAGAAGGAAAAAATAAACTTAAAGATTGAAATAAACAAAGAGAATTGCCTACAATGCTACATATTACCCTGACTGAAGGTGGGAAGAATACATCAAGTCACTAGCCACAAACGAAAAAAAAAAGGCATCGAAGGAAAGGACCTCGCCGTCTACACTACGTCCTTACCAAGTCGAAGAGAAAATATACGCCACAAAAGAAAACACCGCCGCGTAGTGAAAAAATAAACAACAAAAAAGCCAGAGGATAGCACAAAAAATACCTCATTCCACGTGCCACATACACCTTCACACGTGTCGTGCCTTTCTGTTTCATGACACACCACCGCACACCGGTTAAAAAAAAATACACAAAAGTAGCGCAAAAAAAGCGGGAAGCTCAGCAACACGTACTACCACGGTTTGCTTCCAGCACCACCCCTCGCAACAACACTCAATGGTGGGAGAACACGCAAACAATTAGCTGTGTCAGACAAAAAACAAAACAAAACAGAAGAAAAACAAAAAAAAATGTGCTTCCCTTTGGACAAAAGCCTGCCGACGTTTTTGCCACCCCCTTTTGGGTGTTTGTCCCCGTCATTCATTCGGTCTTCAAGCGGGCGCAGTGGGATGCACTGGCCGCAAACGACGAGAGCGAGGCAGCCATTGTGGCGTGTGCCAACGTTCACCCCGATTGATTGGCGCCGTGTGCGCCAAACACAACATGTGGCGCTTGCGGAAGCCGAAATATCTGCACCTTCCACTGCACTCTGCGTTGCGTAGTACGATGAAGGTGTTGGTAGAAATCTCAACTCCCGTCGTCGTGTCACGTGACACGGACGGCAATCAACGGCCAATCGAAGAGGGCTGGCTCCTTCTCGGCGAATACGGCACGTGCCCTCCCGTTGGTTCCTTCTCCAAAACAAAGGCGAGGATGCAAAAGACAAGGCCGTAAAACAAGGGGGGGGCAGAGTCGAGTCGCATCCGAATCTCGTCTTGCGACGAGCCACGTGAGCGTCGTTTCGAGGCGAGGCGGCGCCCGCAAAGGACAATTCGCGCAGAGGCAGGCTTGTGTGCTTTCTCTCTCTCTCCCTCACACTGTTTCGAGTTTTTTTTTCCGTCGGACTGCACACACAGGCTGTGCGTGCGTGCATGTGTGCAGGCTACGCTTTGCGGGACTCCTCACACGACAAGGGACAGGTGACAACGAACATTCTAGAAAAGAGAAAGAAGAAAAATGGGGGAGGGGAAACAGAGGGGAGAGGAGGGGAAACAGTTAACGTGGGTCTAGGGGGTGGGGCACAAGTATTACGCAAACGGTCACTCGTCGCAAACGGCGAAAACACGCATTCCTTGGGAGGTGCGCCGTCAAAGTGCCAAACGAGGAAGGTCGACAATTCGGCACTGCAATTTCAAACTGCAATGCCGGCGATTGGCCAAGCATAAATTTGGGTGGTGGGAAAAAGATGCCTTACATCTCGAAGTTTGGATAGGACACCATCTTTGTGCAAAGTGGAGGAAAAGGATTCAAAGTGGAAGCAACATCCAAAAAGAAAAAAAAAAAAAGTATGAAGCTTACTTTTACAAAAATTACAAAAAAAATGTCTCCCATACTTGACACTTTGACTTTTTACGTCCCTGCCTGGTGTGCACCAAGACTAGATCCCATGGCTGGTGGACTGGGATGTTCTACGAAAGGTATACAAATAAAATGCCCCAATGCAAGTTGAGGATCGAATGACTTTGAAATCCCTGCATAAACTCAAAGCTGAGTTTTATGCTGAATTGACTACCTAGGTAACTTGGTGATTGATAACATTTTCTACCCTTTTTATTGTAGGTAGAAAGCTGCATGGTGAAATGCTAAGAAAATGAATGTTCACTGCTATTACCCATGAAGTAGAAACAAACATACAAATACTGCTCCCAAGATGCCAAGGGGAGATTCCAATGGATGGTCAAGTTGCTGAAGAGCCTTAAAAAGATTTGAGCAAGCCAAGAGACCAGGCTAAACTTTCCCAGTTCATAATGCACAATTTTCCCTCGCTTCTTGGCGTTCAGTTTGAAACGAAATGTGCAAAACATCCAAGACCACCAACGGTCCATGGAACAGAGACCACTGGCTGTAATGGACAAGCGACAAAAGGTGTCCCCAAAGCAATGACACGTGAAGCCACACGCACCACCGCCTGTAATGAGAATATCCACACCGGTGCCACCACAGTACGTTATCTAATGGCCACAGTTCCATAATGTTTGCTTCTTCACCCTGAACAAGTGATTGCTACACACACTGAGGTGCTTACATTCAGTAAGCAAGTTTAGATGATTCATATACTAAAGCAAACAGCTATACAGGCTACACTGAGGAAGAGGAGGAGAAGAAAGTGTATGGGGTTATCAAACTGCCAAGCTCTGGCTGGAATGACTAATGCATAGACGCAAAGTTAGCTGCCTTTGTCCCTACTCTTTACACGCAGTCGAATGCGAACGCCATAGTTCGAAGAGTGAGTAGAGCCAAAGGCAGCTAGCTGGCTTTGCGTCAACTCACTAATGATTCCAGTCGGAGCTCGGCACTCCAGTATACCCGCAGGCCCTCTTCTCCTTCCCTCTCTTAGTTTCCACCCGCATAGTAAGTGTGCTGCAGCGTGCAGCGCGTGCTGGTACAACGAAGCAAACACTTGCATGTGAACTCTCTGATTGTCAGCTACTTCCGAGGAAGATTCACGCGTGCATACTCTTAGGCTACATTAATGCTTCATTCCCATCCTAGACTAAAACTCCGGGAAGCCAGATTTTGGCGACCAGACAAGCTTATTGATAATTCAGCTGCCATTGAGAGTCTAAATGGTTTCGAGTTCTGGACTTGGTGGCTCCGGCGTGACATGTTCTCTTGTGATTCCAGCAAGGAACAACCACACACGCACAAGAATGACTTGAGCAGAAACAACTAGAAAATTCCATTGCTGCAGACAGCATTCATTTCGGTTAGCAGAGCAGCGAGTCAATCTGTTACGTGTGTGGCTAGACACACGGGCCCTTATTGTGACTTGGGATAAAGGTGCACAAACATTTGTAAACGAGGCAAGACAGGGCTCAACACCTCTTCTCGGGAGAAGAGGTGCACCACACACACTGTACCACAGTTAAAGACACCATCTCAATGGTTACGGCCAGACAGGGGAACGTGGCCGGGTGCTAGGAACGGGCACCGGTGTGTGCAGCAAGTAATGCACCGACAAAATGTGCTCCACTTCAATGAACAAACACAGCGTGTGCACCCGATCAAAAGAAATCTTAATGAAAAGGGGACCTGGGAGGTTCCGCTACAGCTTTCAGTCCAGGTCATCAAAGACCACCAAAACTACTGAGCGTTCCATGCAAAACAGCCAAGACAACTTTTAAAATTTACTGCAGATTGTTTTACCAAACACGTGATGCAAAAACTCCATTTCAAATAATGTTTTTACTACGTCTAGCTTTTAGCTCATTGGTTGTCTGCAATGTAAATTTGTTAGCAGAACCTCCCAACGGACTAGGACATCAGCGGAGGACATTGAAGCTGTGTTCAGCATCCTCAGTGTACCATCAAGCTACAAACACCTTGCAACTATGAACAAAGTGTTGAAGCAAAAGCCTAGTGCATACCAGTTGTGCAAAGCAAATTTATAGCTGTGGTGGCAGAATGCACTAATGCAGTGACAGTGAATGGTAAACAGAGTCATTGTGACTATCACGGAAGTGCATTTCCCATCTGTCTCCATTTGCAAGTCATCCCCTTGACATGAAAGACAAGTTTGCAACATAACCTGGGTACACTGAAAATCAGCCTCCTATATGGGAGAAACTTAGAAACTACAGTTTCTAAAGCCATTCAGTGTAAATTATATCCAGTCTGTTATTCTCTAGAACCCTGTTCAGCGTCCATGAATCCTTGCCAGCCGGTTTCCTACCGCAAATTCCTGACCAGAAATTTGAAGTTTATGGTTGTTGCAGCCCTAGAAGACTCAATGTACGACAATTGCTTCAATCATAGATATTAGACACAAGTTCTTTACAAAATATAAACCCAAAGCACTCAGTGCAAGGACATGGTTTTGAACTCTCACTTACCACAGAGTACTCTTCCCCTGTGAAAAAAAGCAATACACTAAAGGTGCTCATTGTGCGCCTCTATAAAAGAAAAACATACACTTGAGGGGTATATCAAATATACTGCAATATACTTTCAATCTCTGAGGCATATTGCAAATATACTTTGGGTGCACTTTATTTTTGCTATCTCTCCTGCTGCGAATGACTCAGCTGGGTGACTGAAGTGGAACACCCAAAGATGCCTGGAGTCTACAAGAAAAGAGAACCATGTCTTCCTCACCACAAAAGTGAACATGTACCCTTAGTGCTAGTGGTTCGGATCAGATGCCATTCAAAACTTATCCCTATTTAATCAAAAGATTAAAAAAATATTTGTGGAAATTTTCAATGAAAGGAATGAGGCCCATTCCCAGTAGCAGACGCCATGCATCTCCACGCATTCGCAGGCATTGTAGGCTACCATTTCCTTATCAAAAATTTTAAAACATTGCTTATAACCTATTATAGTCATATAATGCAAAGTTTTGAAATTCTGAAATTTGGCCCCAACCACTAGCACTACATCTTGAGCGGGAAATGAGAGTTCAGCCATGTATACCATATTTCTTAGTCTATAAGTCCCATTTTTTCCCCGAATCAGTGCTTCTTATACAGCGGTATGACTTTTTTGCATTTTGTTTTTAAATAACTTAAATAATAAATAATCATATCGACTTATACGACAAAGGAAGAACGTTAGAGCGCTTGCCAATGGCCTGCTCTCCCGGCAGTTTGAAGACGATTCAAAGTGTGGCAGTAGGTGCCTGGATGCGGCAATTCCGTGCACCGTCATTTGCAGTGCTCCACAGCGATGGCCAGCACATCAAAACAATTCGTTGTGGGGGTTATGTTTCTCGTTCGATTAGTTGGTGAGAATACTGAAACTGGCACCTGCCTGCACATATATCGCAATCGCAATAAACACGTGCAAGCATAATAATGCGATTTTGCCATGCCAACCATACTGAGAAGTACAACCTACACAAGCGTGCGACTTATAGACCGGAAAATGTAGTACGGTAGTTTACTTGTGAGGCGAGAAAAACAAAGTTCCCTTTTCTTTCAGAAACCAGATATTTTCAATATACTATTTAGGAAGATCAAAATATAGTCTCAGTACACTATCGAATCTATATTCGTTTGTTTCGTAATACTGAAAAAGTAGTAATCACATTTAGTGTATTGCTCTCTGCCAAGGGTTCAAGCCAGTATTCATGATCAGAGTCCAAGGATGCACCAAAAAAAGGCTGCGGAACGGGGACACCTTGGGCAAAAAGGGGAGTCGGTTGTGTATGAAGAGAAGGAAGAAGAGGAGTTAGTGAATAAAAAAAGCTCTTTCATTGTCTTTCTCTTTTATTCACAAACTCAACTTCTTTATTCCCTTCAGACACAAGAGAGTCTATCCACTCACCCAGGTTTCTTCTGTGTCTGCGCTCCCTCTGAGGGCTGTTCAGAGGGGTGGGGCTGCGTCTCCTCAGTAGGGTTTGCTGGCATCTTTCGACCTCTTGAGCTGAACTTTGAGTCGCTTGGTGCCGATCTGAAAGCCATTCATCGCCTGGATGGCCGCCTGTGCACTTAGGGAGTTGTCGTAGCTCACGAAGCCTGCACAGGGAGAAGGAAACCATTGCAAGGCGTCGAACTTGAAGACAGAGTCTGCATACAGGTCTCATGCAGTGCATTGCGTGCTCTTGTGATTGCTTACGAGAGGATGCTGGCACAATCTATTGGGTGCGAATAGTGAATTTCCAGCTCAAAACGAATTCCAAGCGAATAGTGGTTTTGGCCGAATATTTTCGAATCGAAAATCAAGTAGTTGCTCTAAGCTTTTCACTACTGCAACATGCTTAAAACGAAAACCCACCTGAACTTGTGAAGGTTGTTGCCAAACTTAGACTTGTCCATTTTTAAGCCAGCCTTAATTTTGATCTAACTACAGCCGCCGACCGATTTTTCGGACGCCTATAATTCAAACTTGTTAGATATTTCGGACCTAGAGGAGGAACCGTGACCTACCCGACAGAAATAATGCATATTACCGATTGATGTTTCGGACAGCTTGAAGTCTGAAAGTTAGATTTTTCGGACAAAGTCGTCACAAGCGATCAGCGGGGAACACCATCGAGAAGCGGCATTCTTGGATCCTATGTTGGTTGCACATGGATTGGCTTGCTTTGGCAGCACTACTTGAGTAGTGCTCAGTCCTACCAATAGGTGACGCCGCAAGGCTTTTTTTTCTCTAGCTGAGTGTCGTTATCATCATCATTGCTGTTGTTACCATTTTGCTTTGCTCATTCGCCATTGCAGTTGTGGACTTGCGCCTCTCATCTCGATTTCGTCTTGGTGACTCATGTTTTAGGACTACGCTGGCTTGGACGTCATTGTCCCATTAGTTCTTCCACCGCCGCGATGCGTTGCTAAAAAGCGCTCAAAGTACTCAACCATAACACTAGAAAAGAAGGTAGCGATTCTCAAGCTAATAGAAAGTTGTCAAACTCAAAGGGAGGCGTAACCTGAAATCAGGCGCTCAGGCGTAACCTGTAGCAAGGCACTATTAACAGCTTTATTTAAGCCCACTTGGACGTAATAAAGGCAAGTTTTTCAATCTGCTGATTTTTCGGACTGCTCTATTATTCAGACGTTTTTCCGGACCCTGCAAAGTCCGAAAAATCGGTCGGCGACATTTAATGACTGTAACATCCATAAGACCAATGCCTACATTGGGATGGCAAGTAAACAACACATTTCATATAAAATTAAACCTATAGAGATGCCCAACTGTACCTAATCAAAGAGATTTAAATATCCATGCCATATGTAAATATTGTTTCTTCAATCACCTATGTAGGGTTGTGCAAATATTCGAAATTTCGAATAGTAGTTTAGAATTATTTACTATTCAATATTCGCTTTGAGAAGAACTGCAATATTCGCTTTTTTCGAAGTGTTGATTGTGGCGGGTTACACCCGTTGAGCACTATTCTTACCAAGCACCGGTGCACTGTGGAGAAGCAATACCTGCGGAAGCGGGTGCCACTTTTTTGCATTACATCGGTGCTCGGTAAGAAGCGCTCTCAATGGGGTAACCCGTCGCAATACACACTTGCAAAAGTATGAATATCGCAATTGCGTGCTTGGAAGAAAAGCACACATTCAAAGCGCAATGGTGCACGCGTACCAGCTGTATATTAAAATAAACGTAAACTTTGTGAATGTGTATATCTACATTGTAGTAAAAGTTGCAAAATTAAACTGACTGATATACAAGACTATACTATGTTAGGCAGAGGTGTCCTTACAACCTGCATTCATCATGCACGATTCTTTCTTTTCACAGCGGAGCTGTTAAGGGCTAGTTTCCACAGTTTCGTGTCCGCAGACAAATATATCTCAACACAACCCCCTGGACAGCTACCGCCATCTATGAGCGACGGCGGCAACCAGACAACTGGCTTGCGGTTGTCTGGTTGCCGTCATTGGTCATAGATGGGGGCACATAGTACCAGCTCTGCTGCTCTTCTTTCTTCACCAGAGTCGAAAAGCTGAAAGTTCTTTAACTCGAGAATAAAGCAAAAATATTTTATATAGCGAGATTCGTAAATTCACTCAATTGGGTATTGTTGGCCATCTCTATTGGATCCATTTTATGTCAAATCCGTCATTTACTTGCCATCCCAAGACATCAGACCTTCTGAGGCAACAGTTCATAAATATATATAAACTTAGCTTATAAATGAACAAGTGAAACAACCTTCACAAGTTTAACTGGGTTTTCGCCTAAGCATTATGAAATGGTAGTGAAAGGTGTGGGAAAACTATTTGATATTTGGATCGAAAATATTCGGCCAAAATCACTATTCACTTAGAACTTAAAATCCACTATTCGCACAAGACTACACTTATGACTAACGTAGGATGTCAGGGCATCTCTGCTTAACAGATACTCACGCATGCCAGTTTAGTTTTGAATATGTTACTGCAGTGTAGATATAAACATTTAAAAAGTTTCCGTTTCTTTTTAAATACACCAGGCTGGTGCATGCACCATCCCGTTATGGAAAAGAGCTTTCCTCATAAACATGCGGCTGCGATATCTGTACTTTTCAAAGTGTTGATTGCAACGGGTGTAACCCTGTTGAACACGCTTCTTACCAAGCACCAGTGCAATGCAGAAAAGCCACACCTGCGAAAGTGAGCACCACGGGTGCTGCTTCCCCACAGTGAACCGGTGCTTCGTATGGAGGGCGCTCAACAGGGCTTACCTGCTTCGATCAGTGCTTCGAAAGGTTCAAGTATTGCAGTTCCATCTCGAAGCGAATATTGAATAAGATACTATTAAAAGATTAGAATATCCACACAACGCTATCAAGTATGCATGTTACCTATGAGAAATGGTCGCTTATAACGTTGTGAAAGGTTTCTGAAGCCCATGGCAAAATAATGACGCACAAAAAAAAAGTTAGGCAATGAACACGAATTGGAGGTGTACCAGGACTACACGATAGATGGCTCCAGTACTGTCATAAGCAATCACAAGAAAGTACAATGCATTCAGTCACACTCAAACTCAAGTGCATGAACCAGCCTCAAGAACCACATCCAAAATTTCATGGCAAATCCTGCATATCTCACACCAAAAAATTATCGATCCTAATATTAAAATATATCTATGGCCAATGCCAGGATGAGAATGGAAGAGAGGTCTTTCAGTTGTCCAGTCGCCAACGCGAATTTCCTACCTTCGATGTCTCGCGAGCTCGAGCTTAGAGCGTGCATGCACAGCCGACGCTCATGCCTGTAATGAGCGTATGCTAGAGGCTGAGTATCCAAGAGATGCCCTGTGCCTCTTGTCTTGAGAGTGACTACATACAGACATACATGAACGAACATTTCAAAAAACAAATTTTATGTAAAAATGCGTGTGGGCCATTTCTGCAACTTGCCAATGACATTAATTAAAAATAACTGTTTGCTCTGCCAAATGCGTCTTTGTTTAATGTATAGCGCAGTCACCAAACAATCAAACATACAACAGGAACAAATGTTGGAACATATTAACCCGAATAGATCCAGCAAAAAGAGCATTTAACAGAAATGGCTCCCAAACAAAGTTGTACCTTTGTCTATGCAAACATACCTGTGGCTAACGATGCAAGCATAGCCAATGATTGCAGTACACGACAACGCTTTCTACGGTGCATTTTCACACGCTATTTGGGCTAAAAAAAAAAATACCATGAACGAGGTAGTAAACCGAGTGCAATTAAACATTTCACAAAGATGTCTCTAAGTGGCACATTTATTAGGCTAAGATTTCCCGAGTAGTTTCTGGGGAAAAATGTGAGAAAAAAAAACAACCTGCTTTTTCCCTTGCGTGGGAGAAAAATATTAGCAAAAACTGTCCGGCAGACACTGATACTCGCATGTTGTATTATGTACACACCCTTCGGATCTGCTGGATCTGCTTCAGGACGTTCATCTCCAAGAAGTTTTCAAGATTCTGTACCACGTGGTGTCCTATGCAAGTACCAGCACCAACCCGACGGTTTGCTTTCGTTTTCTTCCCGCACATAGAAGAAAAACACACTCTTTCCCCACATCTTTTCCAGAAACCTACACTTACAAAACATGAGTATGATTAAATGGCCCACCTAGAGACACCTTTGTGAAAAGTTTAATTTAACTTAGCTTATTGGCTTATTTATGCAACTTTTCTTACGCCGCTCGAGAATATCCTGTGGAGTCCCCTACCACCTGCAAACAAACATTGGCAAGATCGGTACTATGCCTTAGGAGTATCGCTTTTGTAGATGGTCATTCTTTGCCACCCTCGACAAAACTCAGAGTTTCTCTAGTAGACCGATCTACGACTTTCCTTCTGGATGCCAAGTTCCGCTCATGAGCCTGACCATGCTTTTACAAACCCAAAGATTACTCCGTAATTTCCGCGCTGAATAAACCTTCACCATTATCATTACACTCCCTGCTGGCCCGTGCACCGGTGAGGAACCCGTGAGGACGTGCTCACCGAAGCACTTGCTGAGGTTGGTCTGCTTGTCAATGAACACCTTGGCAGAGACCACGTTGCCAAAAGGCATGAATGTCTGCGCCAGGTCGCTGTCCGTGAACTCTTGCGGCAGGTGGTAGATAAACAGGTTGGCCCCCTCGGGACCTGTGTGCAGGGCGGGGGCGGGGGAAAAGAAGCACTCTGCCCTTCCATCAAGACAGCCGATCCACCCAACGATGGGCTGCGCCACCCGAACACAATCACCCTTCTATACACATGTGCAGCAACGAGACCTAACCAAGGTTGCAAGAAAGGCCTACAGGAACTGTCATTCTATCAAACAAACAGCAATGGTCACAAGAAAACAAAAAAACATGCTAATACCAGAGGGAGTTGCCCTTCCATCAAACAAACAGCAATAACTGCAAGAAAATGACACCTCTCCGTGCTTATCCCTAAAGAAGCACCCCTTCCATAAACATGGCCAATCCGCCGACAAATGGGGGGCGCCACCAAAACACAGTCCCTCTCTGCGCACACATGCGGCAACAATGTCTACAAAGCTTATGAGAAAGGCCCAAGGCGCACTTCAGACGGGGCAATTTTCCCAGCAATTTTAGGGTCACTAGCGAGTTGTTCTTTATAGTAATTCCATAGATCCTGGCACTGCGACACGAATTGATGGAATCACGTCCGGCTCGAAATCGGCGAGTGACTATAACGACTCGAAGACAACTGAAGAACAGGCAGCAAATCAGAAACGTGATATTTTCATGTGACCCCCCTGAGGTCGCGATTATGATGACTAGACAGGGGGTTTAACTGGTTATGGTTTGAAACAAATTCAATGCCATTTAAAGATACAAAACATTTTTAAGGCATTACCGAATCTAGCTAGTAAGAAAATTAAAATTTTAATGATTATGATAACCAGTCGTAGCAATTCGAGTTTTTGAGGCAGCTACGTGTGTATGCGGAGGGCGGCCCGTGTTGCCGTAGTTGCAACTTTAAGAAGTTGGGGAAAATTACAGTGGATCCCAGGAAAGTAGCACGAAGCTCCCCATATGGACGGCATTTTGGTCCATGGAATGAGAAGTATCTCCTTCATCTCTCGATTCCTGGTGAGCCAAATCAAATTCACAGTGACACGTTGCTTTATAAAGAGGTTTCTTGAAACCGAGATTATGTTGTCCACACACAGGTAACAAGTGCACATCTCCGCACCGCCACCACATATGGCATCGGTGCTTGGCGGCATTGAAGAATACTTTTCTTGTTTTGAAATATGCAAGGGCATTATCATTGTAAGAGATTCGTGGCAGTAGGCATGACTGATAAGTTGACTGAATACACAGTGCTAATGACGCTTTTATTGGCGAGGAACTCCTTCAGCACTATAACGCCCCATAGCGATCTTGGTGTGGCCGGTTCAGAACGACCCTTTCGGAGCTTCAAAGGTTGTAAAGGACGGATATGGCAATTGCAATTGCTTCGAGAGGTTCTGGCTGTCTGTATGTTAGTATCTGTTTGTCTACTGCTAGCAGGCAGAGAAGGCAATGGCACTATCTTCCTAGGGCCCAGTGATTTTAGAAAAAAATGGCTCCACCTGAAGAGGGCCTAAAGACACTTAAAGGGGTCAGGAAACGACATTAGGTTGGAATGTTTATGACATTGCAGAGGCGTACTGGTACTAGTCTGGCCCAAGTATACTAGCACAGAACACCTTGGTTCAGAAGCCTCTTTGTTGCAGTAAAATTGCGAGGATCAAAAAGAACTGCGTACCTTATTTTTTTCAGCCTTGCCTTTGCAAAGCTTGATGACTTAATTGTGGGATAAAAACCACCCGCCTGACGACAGTCCAGCGTGGGTCATGGATTGGACACGAGAACTGCATGAGCACTCGACTTCGACTTGTAACTAACAATCAATGCCTCGGCGGACACTCGATTAGTGACTTGTGTCCAACCACTGCGATGATGAGAATAGCCAAACTCTAACAATGCCTGGAGCTCAGCAAGCCTTTTCTACTTTGCCAACCCCAGCGCATGACTATGATTAACGTTGGCAACATAGGATAGGCACCAGACCACGTGGCCACTTGTTCTGGCTGCGAGTTGAGTAGATGAATGATGCTCATATTTCTAGAATTTTTTAGGCGACTGCCATTGCCTGAAGGCAAGTTTATTCAGTTATTAACGTTAGAGAGTGAGTGTAAGTACCTAGTAGTTAGCAAACACAAGAAAATTGTTTCATGACCCCTTTAATGCCTAAAAAGCTGCCTTTCCTGTCAAGAGTGCTATACTACCGAAGAATAGGTGTTAACTAGGGGTGCGCGAATACTCGAATATACGAATTCGAATTGAATAGGAAGTTCCTGAATAATTCGATTCACGAATCAAATTCCTAGTATTTGGCCACTCGAATATTCTATATATTCGGCCAAAGACGCGCAGTCGGCGCGGAGCTGACAAAAAAGCCGTTTTTTCTCCCGATGTAACCGCCGTGATATTAGACAGACCATGCGAAAAACAGCTCTTGGTCCTAACATTCCAGAAATATCCAACGCAGAGGTTAGAAAAAAAAAAGTAACGAATGCCACAAACTTTTTAGCACGCAGATTTACTCACGGTCATGACACAATCTACCCTTGAATCACAACCGAAACATCATGTTTGCACCGCTTCCAGAGAGGAATTGTTACGAGGCCGGAATCCCGCGCCGTGCCTAATTCTTTTCACGAGTAAAGCCCCTCGTTTCAAATTGAAGCACTGATGTAAAACAGACTTCGCCGCATTCACACAAATCGGCGACTGCACGATCACAGAAAGAAAACCACATAAACCACGCCGATGAAACCAGCAGTGTTATCGCCCTTGTTCTTTTGAAACCGCAAGCCGCAAATTCTGATTCGGAACGAAACGGAACGAAAAAATAGTGTGCTTAGATTTGAGAGGGTTTCCAACCGTTTGATAGCCGTGTTTGAATTACGAACTGCGAGAAGGTGACGAAAAGACGAAAGAGTAAATCAGGATTGGGCAGGCAGAGCAGGTGTTGTCGCCCTTCTGTTTGCTCACCTTTTCTACGCGACAACACAACACATGCGCACTTATGACCAATCTGCACTGGAGCCGTTTCCGTGGTTTCAGTTTCACTCGCTCCCTCTTAAATCAAGGCTCTCTAAAACAGGATAAATAGACGAAAAAATGGATGCATAGCGGCAGTTGGACGGTGTCTTGTGCCACCTAACCACGTTTTTGTTCTCTTACTTCAGATTATATTGTCTAAGCCTGTTCACTCAGATTTAACACCTATCTGTTTATTGAAGTAAAATAAAATCCCGGGAGCCCTTTTTCTTCCTTAAAATGGAAACCAAATATCACAAAATGCCCGTTTTTAAGATATACAACTATTTATAAAAAAAAAAGTTTCGGTGTTAGGTTGTGCTTTTAACAAGAAAAAAAGGCATGCGTGGCTGTAACTTTGGTTTTGTTTGTGCTGTTTAGGGTAGATAGATTACATTTCTGTTATAAAATTGGACCTTTAGTGCCCAACATCCAACAGCAACTGCTTTTAGTTTCTTTCTTTTCTTTTCATCAGAATGTTTTTACATTTTAGCTTTTGTTCTGTGCAAGATGCATATTCTGCAACAGGTGGATACTCTGCACATATAATAATCTCATTCGCAGCACACTTTGAAAAATTCCTACAAATAAAATCACTATTCCATATTCTATTCAATATTCGGTTTTTTTTTCTTGATTCAATTTGGTATTCGATTCGAAAACTACTATTCGGTATTCGCACACCCCTAGCGTTAACCCATCCATTTTCCAAGCTCGCGAACAGCAATAGACAGGGTGCCAGGTCTTACCAAACAACGAAGCCAATGAGAATAAAAACACAATTTCAATGCTCAGGCATAAAGAAACTAGTATCATGTTTCCAGACTACTGTAAAATACAGAGAAATGCCCCACTTCGAAAGATAGCCCATCCCGATTTTTAGCCTGATTTGATTTGTATTTTTTTTAAACATTGAAAGATAGCCCACTCCTAGTAAGAGTAGTGTTGGGATCAATGATGGCCTCGGCGTAAATGCGGCTAGTTCATATAAGCTAAAGTTGCTCACTGGGAAGTACAGTCATCTTTGCTTCGTTGTCAAGACACAACCTAAAAATAGCAATTTTTAAAAAAATTTGTTGATTGTACAATGAAAGTTAGCTGACTCCATATTTTTAGCCGATTTGCTCCTGATGTTAGGTGGGCTATCTCCCGGGATTTTACGGTAGATATAAATGCCCCTCAACCAAACTTGCCCAAGAATTATGAAGGAAATTTTTTCTCAACCTATTTGGCATGCTTAAAAAAGCCTTCTTTATCCTTTATTGAACGCTATATTGAAAGCTTAAAAAAGCTTTCAATATATCCTGGTACAATATTTTTGACAAAAGGTCACTCAATGAAATAGCAGCTAACAATCACTGTCGTCATTTTTAAATAGCATTTTAATATTTTGGCATGTGAAAGATATAACTTCCGAGGGTTTTCGCAAAATGGTTCATCCACAGTTTAATATTTGTGAACTTTTTCGTTGCTTGAAAAGTAGACTACTAGGCAAAAGATAAGCTGCTATAGCAAGTGCTAAAACTAGCATTTCCCAATGCCACATGGACAAGAAGGCACCTACTTTCACATAAAAACTGACCAGGACATGGAGAGTCTGTTCAAGGTAGTGCACGGTGCGGAAAACACGCTGACTTGATTATAACATGTTGAAAAAATAAATATCTTCTACAGCACAAACCTTTTAATTTTTTGTAAGAAACATTCCTAAAATTTGCAGAAATATTTCATCTCTGTTGGAGACACAACCTCCATAGTCCGCTGCAACCTAAATGACTTGAACGTAGCATTCACACAAGTGAAAGGTTTTAACGAGACAGGCGCAATGCTTGCTCGCCTCCATGCGGTCAAAACGAAATTTGTTTTACTTTTGGCATTCCAGAAAATGAACAACAAAAAACACCGCACTAGTCTTCTGACTGCGCTGGTTCGCAAACTCTACCGACTTCACTCCTATGGGCTTTTTTCTTTTAAATATAGGTTCAAAAGTAAATAGACTTAGTACCCTCTGTCCCTTTCTGCTGACTGAGTAGAGATGGAAGATGGCTTCTTTGTATTGATTTCGAGGTCAAAGAAAATCCCCATTGGAAAGAAAAGTCATGGTTGGGGGAGCCGTACCTAGGTCACGGCGTCTCAAAGAGCCAACAGGATATAGATTATAATTATAATGCAATTAAATGCATGTTGTCCTTTGTCCCTCCTCCAGGGATTATTTTCATCAGGATATAGATGATGTTTTTGGGTAGGAATATACCGAAAGTGCGTGGTTGAAGAGATCTGAGAAACTTGCAAGCGCATTACTTTCACCCTGGTGGCAACACATACTTAAAGGGAAGCTGAAGCGGTTTTAAATACGAGAAAAAACACCTGAGCCTAGTCAACGAGACCTCAGCCATCACGAATATCGTATTCGGTTGGTCATTTTCTGCGCGGATTAACCGGAACAGCGCCTTCAAAGTAGCACCGAAGCCACGCCTCTCCAAAGCAGAGGGAAAGGGGAGAGAGGAGGAAGCCCGTCAGCCGCCGTCACAAAAGGACCGGGTGGGGGACCCCGCCGCGCCTGGCCGCGCTTTCCTCGTAGGCTGCTCTAGTGTCTTTTTGAGCCGTCGTTGTTCTGCCGCTGCATAGCGCTTGCTTTTATCCGTTGACCGGTCATGCTATTGACTCAATCGCCTGACGTGCTAATTGTTCTCTTGTTTGTTCACGTGTTCGCAGAATTCTCGTGGCACCAAACCAAATGACTCCTGCTGTTGCACGGTGCCGTACTCGTGTGTAGCCGCCAGCTTTCATGAACAGCGCTCGTCGTAGGGTTTCTTCCCGCTTACCGTCTTTTCCACTTCGTCACCGAGATTTTAAAGGGGTAGGTGGGTTTGAGCAAGTACACCGTCTTTTGTTCGAAACAGGTTTTGGACGGCGCATATGAAAACTATGTATGTACATATGGGTTTGGATCTGAAGAAGGCTCGCTTGAACCCGACGCTCTGCCGACCATCTTTGAAGGTAAGAAGGCAATTCAGCGCATTAAAAGTCACAAGCAAAGAGGAAACGTAACTGGGTAGGAATTGTAGGTCGACTGTTCTAGAAAAAAGCTGTTACGTTATTAGAAGTGTGCAGTGTGCTTGAAAAGCCGCGATCATTTAGCCGAACAGCGGGTTTCTACTGGCTCTCTTGTGTTAGTGCTGGTTTCTTATATTGTTGAAGAGACCATATTTTCCGGACCCACTCCGGCCCGGGAAGTCTGGGGAAAAAAAGAAAACAATGCAGCCCAATATTATTTTCTTCTGTTTTTAATCTACTCGGCTACCCAGTCACTTGGGAGAGGAGGGCTTGCTCTAATAAGTAGTCATGCAATTCATGATGCGACTTTCACGGTGCAACTTGTTTTAACATGAACTTTTTTTTACAGTTGCTGACATTATTTGAGGCCACATATATTTTAAACGTAAACATAAATTTGGTTAAATTTTCCTTTCAAAAGTTCATATTCTCTTCAGGAGAGCCTTTTGGAAATACAACGCATGTGACCTTCTGTTCTGAATTGAGTTCTTTTTTTACAAGTTACGCAGTGTTTTTCGTATAAAGTTTGTGTAATGCAACAATTCTTTATTAGAATGCAATTAAATGCAAATGTGCAAGCGAGCTGGACAAGAATGTTGAAAATAATCCCTGGAGAAGGGGAACAAGAGGGACAAAGGACAAATACAAATCTCCAAACACAGCTAGGTGACTGGTGAGCGACCGAAAAAATCCGCCTGGTCCGGATATCGAACCCGGGACCTCTCCATTACAGGTGGCCGTAGAAATGCGATTGGACGATGATAATGCCTGGTGGCGGTGTGATGCAGTAAACAAAGCTTGGTAGAAGTATGCGAATGTAGAGACCCAGGAAGCTTTCACGAATTCGACGTCAAATTAAGGGGTGCCGGGCACACATCTCCGCTTTTTCTAAAGCTATAATGGCGCCATAGTTTGTGGCAAACAAACTAAACGCAGCAGAGGGTATACCGCTATCACAAGGATGGAAGGATATGGCGGTGGCAGAACGGCGACCCTATCTTATCAGCCGTCTCATCTCAGGGGAAGCTCTCCCGTCGCCCGAAGCCGATTATACTATCCCAGGTGAGGCCAGGCTGACCCAGTCTAAGAGCCGCAAACAAAACCACGAAACTTCCAAGAGCCGCGGGGGGGAGGGGGGGGGGGGGGGGGGGCAAACTTTTGTCCAGAGCAATAACCGAAACTCAAACTACTTTCAATCTATCCGAGTTAAAAGCAGGCCAACTGTGTATGTAAGGTAGCCGTAGCACAAGACAACCAAACCGCAAACTGCCTGTCGGTATAAAACGCGTTCCATTTGTCTTTTTGGGAAAGTGCTCGCGTGATCGGGAGGGAGGCGGGTTTGTGGGGGGAGGGGGATATTGGGGAAGGAAACCACAAGCCGCACTTTAAGACGCAAAGAGCCACATGCGGCTCGCGAGCCGCAAATTGGCCACCCCTGTACTATCCCTTCAAACAACCTCAGCTTTGATGAACAATGCAGCCTGCACGCTCACGCGTCCCGCATGCAGCTGGCAAGCACGAAGGCCGATGTGTGCAGAATTCTTGTCCTCTGACGACCGTTTTGGGGAGGGTCACGCTAATCCGGCTCGAGGTGTCCTGTCAATAGCACTCCGTTTATTGTCAACATTTTAGGTTACAATAAATAGCAGTAAGTACGTTCCTGAAGGTACAAAGCCAGCCATCTCGCGTCCGCTCAAGCGGTTCCTCGTCTGTGTTTATTATTGCGGGGGGTCATTTTCCTACCTTGCCAACAGCTGGAACGCGTACTTTGTCACGTCGAGGGTTGTGTGGACACATTCCTCTTTCGGATTCATCGAAAGATTTCGAAAAATCAGAAGCCGAACCCGATTTACGAGAGCAGAAGACCCGGTGCCCGGCTACTTCCGCAAGCGACGGAGCAAGCGAGAATCGAGATGGTCCTTTTATGACGTAGCGGCGCGTCACGCGTGGCTAGCCAATGGCGTGCCGCTGCGGCGATCGCTTCCGATTTCTTCGCTTTTTTTCGCGTTTAAGGATTATTTTGGGTCAAATGGTTGTGATATTTGAACTCAGCAGGCACAAACACGTCAGAATCAACCATTAACTCATTTTTTTCGAAAAGCTCTTCAGCTTCCCTTTAATGAAAAAGGTGGATTAATGTTTTATTTCTGGTAGAGACCTTAGCACATTTTGCAAGGAATAAATAATAATCTTGCGTATATTTTTATAAAGCCGGAAGTTAGTCAGCCCCAAATGCGCACATGGTGCCTCAGCTATAGATGAAAAATTTAGCCAGTGCAGTACGATCGCTAGCCTGGGGGTCTTTGACATGCACCACGCAGTAGTGACACACGACCGCACGCCAGTAAGGTGCTCATCCCGACCAGACACATTTCTTGATGTGTCTGGTCTGGAAACTTTTCTGCCAGATTATGGTAGAGTTTCTTGTGACTTTCTTTTATCATACCTTGGGATGCTCCCAAGGACTGCGCGTGTCTGCTAAATATCTGATATTAATTATTATAAGGCCGCCCACTCCACTCACAGAATAGAAAAAAAGAAAAAAAAAAAAGCGGTTCTCCTCACCTTCGACTTGCTTTCCAACAGGGTTTTGGGACTGCTGTAGTCCAATCTGCGCAAAGGCTCCTGGCACAGCTGCGGCAAAGTGAAAGATTCATAACAATTCCAGAGGTACTGAAAAATCGAATTGAGATTGGTCGAAAACACAAACAACTTTTTAGTAGCTGTACTCCGTTACAAGTTTTCAGCAACTCTTTGATACATAAAGGCCTGTTCACCCTCCTACCGACCGAGACAAGGTTGGTTTTTAAGCCTCTGGCAATGAGTTACAACTGGCTGTGCAGCAATGCAGCTAGTCCTAAGCTGTCACAAGGGGCACTTAAAATGGTTTTATCTCAGTCGGTTGAAGTCAAACGGAAGTGTGTGAATGGGCCTTAACTAGGTACCATGGTGCAAGATATATATAGGTGTGGACACCACATGCGTTGCAGCTGCCAGATAAAGTCCTCCCGCCTTAGTTGCAAGCAGTGCCACCAGATGGCTCCTCGATATGCGGCTATTGGCAGCTTGTCGCGAACCCGGTTTCCGCATGGCTCTCTACGGGAGACACGCTAGTGTATCTAATCTTGTTTTCCGGGTGCGCCGTATCGGGCAGAGCTTACCACTTGCACTACGCATGTTGCTTAAACATTGTTTTGTCACTGACCCTAGTTTCGTGCCTCAATGGTGGCAGTGACAGTTTTACGAACGCGTTGAAGCGGATTGATCTCTCGTGCGGTGTTCGAGCCAGTGTCCGTCAAGGAAAAAGCAGACGTTTTGAGTAGAAAGAGTGCTTGCCAGGTTGCCATGGGAAAGAGACACTTTTAGTCTCGTTTGTTTTTCTTTTTTCTTCAGTTGCGCCATCTGGATGGTAGAGACGCTGTCGGCAAAAGTCACCCAGGTGCGCGCTAAGAGGATTTCATCTGGTCGGTTGCATCGCAAAGTTTGCCATGCTGCGTGTCCTCACTTATATATATATATATATATATATCTTACAGTCTGCTATGTGCTAAACACTCACCGTTGTGCATTAAGGCCTATTCAAACAGGACACTTCAGAAATCGTGAGGCGACATGACTCCGTCAAACATTGTGAAAGTTGAAGCGTCCAGCAGTCCGATGTCTGTCTTAGCACCACCAAGCAAACATCACGATTTTCCTCCTCGGACACATGCCACCCGCCAATGCAGTCCGTCTGTTCTGCCGGGCACTCATATCCTTGACCGTGTTCCAAAATTTGGTGAATCTTACCCCAGGGTAAGGGTTTTGTACCTCTGTGTTCGAAAACCTACACGCATCCAGAGTCTCTCTGTGTTATCATGTTGATTTCAATTTCGAACGCAGCCCTTCCCTTTCCCGTTTTCGGGACCTGAAGAGCAGCGGAGGCCTTGAGCGATTGACCGACAACCAACAGAGCTGGTGAGTGGCTGTCCACACCTAGGCGATAAGCATGCTCAAGGACACCGTGGAGAACATGGGCGAAATTTGATGCAGGGAACTCTCCCCCGTTGTAAAAAAAGACGGACAGAGGCAGACCGCCGCACGACTTATGTCTGAGCCGTGTCGCCTTACGATTTCTGGATTGTTTTGTTTCGACGAGCCTTTACCGGTTTCAAGGTCTGTAGGCTTTTGCACTACTTTACTCCATCAGTGCCAAAACCAGGAGGGATTGGCTTTCCTTGAGATTGAAGTCTGAGAACCAACAACGATTGACCTGCACAAGCGCGCGTGATTGGAAGCGGCACTGATAAGCTTGGAGCTAACTCTAATGGTTTCTGCTATGCTTGCACTTAACTTGAGATGGACTTAACTTGAGATGGAGTATATATAGCCTGCTGATTATGCACACCTTCAAAAACGAATGTTCGGAAACGACTACAAAGGATGTTTGAAAGCTGCAAAGGAACGCAATTTCTCTTATTTCAAGACTAACAAGCCTTACCCACGGCATGTCAATGGGATGCTGGTGATTATGATCACCTTAAATGCAAGATGCGCCGAATACCAAAGATGCAAAGAAATCGGGTGGAAGGGGGGGAAGAACTGGGCGAGGCCCGCTTACATTGATACTGCTGCATGCCCGAATAGGCTTGCGCCAGGGCATCCAGGCTGGGCCCGTTGGCTGTCAGGCCTCCCGTGTTGCCCAACCTGATTGAGTTAGTGAAGCAAAGAAAAAAAAGCGAAATGTCAGAAAAGTAACAAAAAGATGCACATATTCCTTCTATTCACACGGAAAGACCATTTAAACACCGCAAGATGCGCATGAACGTGTCCTGCGTCCCTGACCCAAGACACGTTCAATAGTGACTTGGCTATGCACGATGCGAGCGTTGCTCACCCGTTGACATTGGTGAGCGCTCCCATGGTGGAGAGCGAGTTGGTGCTCATGCCCAGGGCCATGCTTGACACTGGACTGAGGGAGCTCACCCCACTCAGAGATGAGTTGCCGCTTGACGTGCTCCCCGAGACGTTGCCTGCATAGCGAACAATGGAAAACCCTACTTTTAAAGAGAGCGTGGAAAGATTCACTAAAAATATACGAGGGGATTAACCTATCGACCTGAATGAAAAAGAAAATTCTCAAGGCAATAGCAGCCCCCATTTAAGGAGGTCATAAGAAAATTCACTAGAGATACATGATGAGATGAAGTTATCTACCTGGATGTTAAAGAAAATTTGGAAGGTAAAAACAACCTTCTTCTAAGGATACCGCAAAAACAACCCTCTTCTAAGGATACCATACTAGTGATATAAGATGAGATTGAGAATTAAGTTATTGACCTGAATGTGAAAGGGAATTCTGAAGAAATACCCCATCATGGAAATCGTGAGCAAATTCTCCTATACTTGCGAACAACTTCCTTTCGCATTTTTGACGAGAGAAAGGGCGTGCATGCGCAGCTTTAATTGGCGTTAACACACATGCTCCCATACCTCTAGCCGCATAGCCACAGAAAGTTGTCTAGAAGTATAGCCCTATACAATGAGATAAAAAACTAAGTTAACTACCTGAATGGGTAAGAACTAAACCTGAACAAAATTCTGAAAAAAACAAACAAAAAAAAAAAACAGATTTTCAAGAAGATCATGAGAAGATTAACTAGTGATATACAGAAAGATTAAAGGTTAAGTTATCTACCTCAATGTAAAACAATTCAGAAGGAAAAAAACAACCCATTTTTGAGGACATCACGAGAAGATGCGCTGGTGATGTATATTAAATATGTTATTTACCTGAATGGTAAAAAAAAAATTCTGAATGCAAAACCTAAGTGTTATCTAGAATTGTGATTAGCATGCCCCTTCAACTGCGACTTCAAATGCACAATTCCTTGAGAATAAACAGTGGTTGGAGATGTATTTCACAAAAAACTAGGCTAAATCTGGTGAATTGAACCCATTTCCAATTTTTACTTTTCCCTCATGTCTCAAATTGATGTGAACTGGACAGGCAGAGCCCAATAACAGCACACAGAAAAATACAAGCTCATTTTACACTCCTAGAGTCAGGTAGATGACTTATGAGCACTCCTCATTCCACAAGCAAGGTAACAATGATGGCAGAAAAACCCTGCATACAAATCTGTTTTGTTTCAGAGTGCACAGTAAAGGCAATGAATACAACACTTCACAGAACTTTGGAAGAAACTTGCAATGTCATTCTCTAAACAGCATGCTAAGTAGAGAATGTCTAGCAAGGGGCAACTCCTGAGAAAACAGAAAGAGAAAGAGACTAGCCTGTGGGATATCTGAACAGGTCTATTCCTGTGGAGGTGGGAGAAAGGAGGGGAAAGGGAGATCAAGCAAGTGAAAGAGGAGCAGGCGCAATGAAGGACAAAGAATGACGATGTCGACAATTAATGCTGGCAGAAAACTATGCACACTATCTAGACTCCCAAAAGGGAAGTTGATATAAATTATTCTTATCATTCTGCTGTCCTGTTCTTATGACAATACATAATAGTGTGATCCAAGCCGCAAAAGTATCTCCTAAGACTCTTGGCAGCATGTGCTTTTGGTGCTTCCCACAAGCCTTCCAAGATGTAAAAGATGGCAAAATCATCATGATCTTAATTTGAAGACTATAGGAATAAAATTATAAACAACACAACACGAAATCTTGTCAATACTTTGTGTTATGTCCCCTTTTTTTTTCTTCTCCTAGTTTTAGGGTTCAGATTACATTTCTTAACAAGCTTGGCTGCGAAACAGTGCTTGGGATTAGGCTAGTTAGTTTTTGCTGTTTCGATTAAACTGTACTGCAAAGGATTACAAATAACACTGAGGCCACCTGCATACTTTCATTTCTTACAATATGGCAAACGTAAAAGCATGGCCTTTGTGGCATGGTACCCCATTTGATGGGACATCGAAAAATGTTCCTGCTTGTGGCTGTATATAATTTATAAAGCTACTCAAGAATTTTTTCTTTTATACGTAAGTATAAGAGTAGCATGCCATGCTTTCTAGTGTGACCTTGCAGAGGGCTTTCTATACAAAGTTATTCCAGACTAACATTGCAAGGCAGTAAGCCATAGCTGAGCTTTTGTTTCACTATTTGCTGACTGCCTTTTTTGTGCCATGGTACAAATGTGTGACCCTGAAGCTCTCGTAAATTTGTCAATGAACACTAATTGAAAACTACTTGTGGGCAACGAATAGAAACTTAATATAAAAAATCTTAATCTCTAAGTACTAAGACGTGGCCCTGTACGTCCAAGCTCTTATTTATATGTTATTGAAATTATTCAAGAACAAAAGCATAAGAAGGTAAATCAGTCAAAAAATAGAGCCCACAGCTTATACTACACTCGACGATGCATAGTAAAACAAACAAGAACAGATACATAACTCGACAAAACAGAGACAGTGAAAACGTCTGGACAACTTCTTTGCATTAATGGACACCTTTTTTCCTCACCTGTGGAACCGCGCCTGCTCAGGACTGCATTGTATTTTGTGCAAATTTTTGGGAGGGCACAGCATTTTGTTTGTTTCATCGTCCAAGTGGGGAACACGGTGAGGAGGAGCAGGGAAGGAGAGGAAAGGTGCATTCATTATTTCAGCGAAACAACATACCACATCAACAATGCCAGTTTACAAAGCGTACATTCTAAAGTCTGTTGAAGGTCAAGAAATGTGGGAGAAGCCCCTTCCACAAGGCCTTATCACTGCTTCTAGCTTCTTTGTACAAACTTTGCCACAAAACATAATTAGCAATGCAAAGAAAAGCAACGTTTGAATGTCACTTTTGTCAGCATTGTAAATTGTCTTTTGAGTCCAAGTTCATACCAAGGAGACTCCTCCTCTGCCTAGAGGTCTGCACAGGTACAGGGCAGTTTGCAAACCATGGGCCCTAGCCTCAAAGCTACATTCATGAACGGCCCAGGGTGGGTACGGACATTGTGTACAAGTCTATAAGGCAGGCCAAGCTGATCATTACCTCTTTTTTTTTTTTAGCAGCAATGTTTTTGGAAGTTTGTTTGGGGCGGGGGGGTCTAGTGGGGGATACCGAAATGCTAAAACCATGTATGTGTGTTTGTATGTTTTTGGATGGTTCGGTATGTGTGCAGCGAATGTTCTCCCGAAATCAGTCTATGGGGCCCACCAGGATTTCTGAAATCATGTGATGTACACTTCAAAATATTTTGAGGGGTTTGAGATGGCCGTCAAAGTTTTCCAAGGGGCCTGAGTACCATTCAAGAATTTCTAAAGGGTCTAAGGCAGTGGTTGGCAACCTTTTGGCGAAGCGGGCCGAGTCGCTGCTAAGCCAAGGCCGAACGGGCCGGACGGCAAGCAGGGGGGGGGGGGGGGCATAAAACAAAATGAAAAAAGCACTTGCACGAACTTACATTGACGTACATAAATCGAAAATTAACAGTTTCTTTATTTCACGACAAAGAACCTGAGATACAACATTTCCACGAAAACCTAGAGACTCCTCTCAGTGAGACTTTTGGTGTTGAACTGCGCTCGCCAAACTACGAACATCCACATTCAAGCTGCTAACTGCGAGTCGCAAAACATTGTGGAGGTTCTCGTCAGTCATTCGTGAGCGGAAGTTGGATTTTATGCACTTCATTCGTGAAAAAGTCTGCTCGCAGACGGGCAGCGAATTAGTCAACTTTATTATTATTATTATTTTTTTTTTTTTTGTTTCTTTAGCTGACTGCGTAGGGGGGGGAGTGGGGGTTACCGGGAGGCTGAGGGCCGTATGATACTACCTCGCGGGCCGGATCCGGCCCGTGGGCCGCTGGTTGCCGACCACTGGTCTAAGGGAACAGTCATAGTTTTTTCAGATGCCTTTCGGGTCTGTCCTTTCGAAGAAAAGCATGGCACCCATCAAAATAGTTTTAATGGGTCTGTGGGAGAGATCATGTGACCTTTCAGGATGTATGTGTCGGGGAAGCCGCTTGGCCATTATGTATCAAATGGTTGCAATGAGCAGATGCTCAGTGTTGGCTTCCAGTCTGATGCGTTGGACCTATATCTTCTAGAGCAGCTCAATGTGTGCATCAAGGAGAATATCTTCAAGTGCCCCGTTTCTAGCGCCTCTTCATCTGCCCGGCTTCAGAAGCTTATCTACCGAGCGTAAACGACACTGGAGACACCATTGTGGCAGCACCAGGGACGACACCGTGACCGTGCTCAGGATTTCTCAATGGTCCCAGACGTTGGTTTCACATTCGTGGTTTCCGCTAGACGTGCCGCTGACAGTGTATGTGTGCATGTGGTGCACCTGCTTGCCTTTTTTAGTTGAACTACCGTACATCTCAGGAATTTAACCAGCGGCAAGCGAGTACCTCAAAATATATTTTTTGCAACAAAGAACTCGGTGGTTCCTATTGGATCCGATTGCTATTGTCTACAGCTGCTTGCACCTGGGTTTGAGTGCACGCTAGTTCTTATTGTCTTTTTGAGTTACAACAACGTACGTAAAAAACAATGTCTAAAATAAACTTCCAATAACGTTTCAAACTGCATAGACATGGTAACCCTGGATAGAGGGGACAAAGAGGACAGACAGACACGAAACTCCGAACGCAGGTAAAGATTTATTTTTCAGACCACGCCCTTAGATAGGCCCTCAACCACACAAGGAGACACACGCTGCCTGAGGTTAAATTACCGTGGCAAGTAAAAACAAAAGAACGAACTACTCTAGCGACCAACAAGAGGTCACTAGTTTGTAGGGACACAAGGAAACCCTGAAAGAAACAACGCGCCCTCTAAAGGCATGCAACCAACAAAAAGGAACCAAGATAAGCACTTCAACCACACCCTTTCCCCCCGACCGGCGGCCGACCTGTGGGCACTAGTCCAAAAAACAATAAAGAAAAGACAGTAAAAAAAGCAAAAAAACCAAGTGTTAAGGAACATTTTAATAGGGTTGGTAAGAGCAACGGACATATTGCTAAAACATCCACTATTCCTGGAAATTATCAACGACACCTTTACAAGACGTTTATAGACG